TTTCCTCGAGCGGAAATCCAAAAGTTCGTGCTCTTTTTGCCCTAACCAGCCACAGTTGAACCCAGACGCTTAATTAGTTCCCAGTTCTGTGCACAGACAAGTCTCCAACATGCCTTTATCAGGCATGGATGCCAGCCAAAAAAGTTGTGCAGAGGATTGTGTGCTGCAACAATACATGATTTTGAACAACCAGTCGCTACTGCATGCATGTGGCACCAGGCTTGCTCAAGCTATTGGTCTGTGATAGGGCTTCATGACTTCTAGATTGACGTCTTGTCAAACTTTGGCAGCAGGGATCTCGATGATTGAAAGCACCCAGCAGCCAGAGAGTGAAGATCTTGCAAGCAGGATCGAAGCTACTTGCCTAGATTAATTGTCATAATGGGCTTCCCATATTTAATGTGTTCTGATCAAAGGTCCATGACTTAATCCTGGCCCCAGCTTATTAGCCTGCAAGTGCCTGCATGGAATAGATGTAATCCTGGCCCCAGCTTAAGAGCCTGCAACTGCCTGGAACTCCCTTCAAAACCTCTACGCTGAGGCGGCTCGGCGTCGGATTGCTTTGCTGCAGTCCTCTCTGCAGAGCATTCCTAGCAGGGTCCAGGAGGAGTCTGTGCCAGGCAGGGATAATAGCTCTAGAGGGTGTCCTACACAGGTTTAAGCTATGGGTTGAGTACGGTTCCAACCTGTACGTGTAACTCCTTCTACACTGTGGGGCCCCTTAATTATACAACTTGGGCTGTGTAAGTACGTATATGCGGCTAAGTGTCATAGAAATGTTCTGGGATTAAAGGGTGCCACCCTGTAGCATTTTTTCGCTAGCTGATCCATTACGGGAACTTGCAAAATCCGGGGAAGAAGGTGCACCTGCGATTGCACGTGCCGATGATCAGTCGGCTGTTGCTGGCAAGCATGTGGTTGGTTTGAGAAGGTTCCGGCCAAGCAGCCAGGATGGGCAATACCAGCCTTGGGGTCCTGGGGGTGAAACCTTGAGATTGGTCAGCTTTGAGAGTGATGTGCCACCTGGCCAACGAACTCCAAGCCCAAAGCACCCTATTGCCCCAACGAAATCGTCAGAAGAACTTGCAAGGAGACACTCCCAGGTAGCGCCTTCCAGTGTGAAGCCGGAGCCCAGTCACTCAGCTAGCCCAGCAGGCCGCCCAGCATTGATGTGCACGCCCCCAAAGCCTGACAAGGGCTGGAGGGATGACACCCCAGAGAAGGCACCCCAAGCCCGAGATGGTGGCAGCCCTGTTGCTTCTGTTGTGGCTTGGGTAGAATAAACCTTGAATCTCTAGACCAGATCCTGTGCATCAGTATTGCCCTGGACACTGTAGGAACCAACTAAGCGATTCCATACCATTACTCAGGCAAACTCGCGCTCCTCGGGGTCTGGGAGTGATGCAGATTCGCATGGGAAGCGGAAGAGATCCCAGAGCCCAACTTACTGGCGGACCCAGGGTTGCAATCATGTAGGGTGTGCTCGAACTATATATGGTGCAAAGGGGAGGTGATGCGCATCTGAGGTTGCGTCGCTACTTTCAGCCGAAGGCTTGCGGCAAGCTCAAATGCTCGAAGGAGGCCTTGGAGATGTACAAAACTGATGCTGGCCGTGGCTTGCCTTTAGCTTAGATCTAATTAGAAAGAACTATATATAGTGCATCTTTACGCGATAGATGGCCCTAGGAGAGAAGTTGCGGGAGCTGCTCAAGCAACACGGGGACTTTGCCTCGATGGAAGTCCTGGTCAAAAAGTACCACCGCACCCTCTTTGGAAAGACCAAGTCAGGAGGTTGGTACAGCAAGCACTACCTGCTCACGGTAGCCCAATGGACAAAGCAGCATGGCTATTCAAGGAACCCTCGCAGCCACTCTCTAGCTATACGGGCTGCACTAGCTTAAGCTTTGGGATTCAGCTAGCTGCCTAGGAAAATGACGGACTCGGCCTTTGCATGGGCACAGACGCACAGCAAGATCCGCACGAACCCTGTCCATGGAGAGCAGGAAGCACTCTTCGTTTTGAATGAGAGTTTCCAGCTTGTCGATGAGACCGGATCTACTATCCAGATGCAAGGTCAGCTGGAGATGGAGGACCCTTCTGGAATGTAAGCACTTCAGCTCTAGAACTTCCTCCTTAAACCCTAAACCCTAGGTATATATAAGCCCTAGCCCGCAAAACCCTACACCCTAAACATAGACCCCATAAAGGATGCATAATTTTAATGGAATCTTGCAGGATGATAGTGGCTCCCTCTTCCAGTCAGACATCCCCAGCATTGATGCCTCCTTGGGAGACCTCGTCAGTGGAATCGCTGCTACAACCTCAGGTGTGAGTGCCACAGCTTCGATTGCTTCTGGCGCAGCATCCTTTAAGTGTCTTGGTAGAAGGGGTACCAGGAATGTGGACGGAGCAGCGGGCATGTTATCTTTAATTCTACTTTCTGTAGCGTAAGGTTGCTATTCTGCCTTCTCAGGATCGTGTTCCCCACAGTGGCCCAGAATGATTCGCCCGTGTCCATTCTTGGAAACTTCTTGGAAGTGCTGGGCCGCAAGATTGATTCATGCGAAGATCAGATGGTCAGCTACCCATGGCTGTGTTCTACCCAATTGCTTTCCCAAGTACTAATATTATCTATATAATTATAATCTAACATTACTTCTAGCCTGAGTCTTCCTATGCACTTACGCAGGACAAATTGGACCCCAAGAATGGCCGGGCAAAGGGGCCACTGTGCCGCAATGCCTACTGAGTCCCAATAAGGTTATAACCCTCTAAATCTAAAGGTTCAGGTTTTGCTCTATGTATGAGGTTTTAGATCTAGTGGGTTTAGCTGTGTAGGGTTTGTATATATGTACGTAGGTCTATCTAGGCTTTAGGATGATCGGGTTCAGGGCCGGTGTTGCAATTTTGGGCCATTGTATGGTGTCAGCGTCTAAGCCCTCCCCCCTCCTCAGGATTCGCGATCAGTTGGAGATTCTTCTGAAGGGTATGAAGAAGTACTACACGGATCTTACCCAGAAGCAAGCAGATGCTATCACAGGCAACCCAGACCAGCCTCTTGACTTGAGCTAGTTATCTATATAGCTTCATTGGCCATATAGCGCTGATGTAAACGGGTTAGCTTAGGCGCTTCAACGACCAGCTGCTGCACACGTATGCAGCGATCACGAAGCAAGATGTTTTGCTTGCCAATTACATTTTGCGGGCCAAGAACCTTGCCTCCATACCATTTATTTAGAGGGTGTGTTGTTCTGTCTTCAGGAATTGATAGGGCACTCCTCTACCTGTACATCAGGACTTTGAAAGGGCACGGTTTGGGTATAGGTAGCATCAGAATAAATTGTTAACTATAGTTGTTGTTCTCCCGTGCGTTAATAGTCAGCCCCCTAAAACAATATAATCTGAACCTGCGTTGCTTGGGCCCATGATGGTTGCCAAAACCTCGGATCCTAAACCATGCACGTATAGAAGAAACCTATATGTTCTCAATTCCTCGCCTGACATCCCCAATCTCCAAATCCTATATCTAATTGATTGCTTCGGCTGCCAAGGGGTATGACGAAGAAGGGACCATCTGAGCGCGCGCCATCCTGCCGGGGGGGTGCTCCAAAGTCAAAGCCAACTAAGAAGGAGAAGAAGATGAAGAAGGAAAAAACATCGAAGAAGTGAAATCGCAGTAGGCCTCCTAAGGAGATAGCTGTGCTGCTACGAAGACCATAGCGATTGCAGCTGCATTTTGCAAATGCATGGTTGCCAGGCAACGATGCCAAGCTGTAAGGGGGGTAGGGTTGGTTGATTAAAGCATTGAGCCACTGCAACTACTAGAGGCGCCATTAATGCATGGTGTCGTCGTTGCGCAACCTAGCTGATTACCACAAGCGTTGTGGAAATTCATTTGAGCCCATTGGAATGGTACATTCCAAGCTTAATTGGAAACGCTGACCCAGGGCTGCCTGATTGCCTTTCGATCAGAAACCTGCCTGGTGAGCACGAAAACAATGGGTGCTGAATTCATCGGATCAAATCAGTGGAGGCCCCGAAGGCATGCAATCAAGACCATCCCCACACGCAGGCCATTTGGATCGTGCTGCTCAACGAGAAGAAAGTCAGTAGCTTAATTCCCCATCCATGAACAGGTGTAAGCTTACAACTCCCAGTCCTTCAGGTCCAGATTTCGATGAGCGTAGCAATGGCGATGATGACTTGGCAGAGGAGCTTTTTTTGGGCTTCGAAGAGGGGGTTCGCTGCTGAGGTTAATGCTATTTTCTGGTTGTTTTCGTATTTGTTAGTTTAATGGATAGGTTTTATAGGCGAATTCGCAAGTATACTTATACACAGGCTGATTCTGCGAAGCGGGTGGTTCGTTTGGCAGCTGTAGCCACCAACCTCATGAGGAAGCATGGCCACTTGGTTCTGGACGTAGAAAGTGCTTGGCTTTTGCAAAAACCTACAACCCGTATAACTTAGTATGTGGGATATTTATATATATATAATTAATTTCTTCGAATGCTATACAGGTGTTGTGGACCCATTTTTGGTGGACTTGGCACAATGTGGCCAGAACAAACGAAATGAATGTCGTAATCTTCACTTCTTGATACATCGGCGTCGAAAGGTGTTGCCTGTTGTAATTTCATGGGTACCCACCCCTGTGAGATATACTCGTGGCAAGCCTACGATCAAAACAGTGACTTACCCAGTTCTTCATCTCAGCTCTTGGTGCAAGCAATGTTTTTCTACTGGGGGCCACATGCTACTTGGCGGATACAACTTAGACGATGAGCGCAAGTTCCGCCAGCTATTTGTGCAGTTTTGGCACCGGTTTCGCTTCTGCCGGCCAGATTTGGACCTTTACAAACAGGAATTTGCACATGACCTTTCACTATGTATTCCGGTCGCCTACCATGGCGATGAAGGCCGGGGGAAGATGAAGCGCCCTCTGATGGTTTTGGCTTTCCAACCGCTGATTTCCCATATGGGGCCCGAGTACACAAATGCTAACGGGATACTTGGTTACGTTTAAGGCGATTGGTTCATTTTTGTATAAGGCTTAAGACCTACATTCTGCTACAGCTATTCCACACCCAATTGGTTAGGAGTTCCTTGCAGGCACAGCTTCACAACCAGAATGCTGTTTACAGTCGTTCCTAGCGAGCTCTACCATGGAGACAAAACGATCGACACCCTGCATGGGGCCCTTGTCCAAGATTGGCTCAGTCTTTACAATGAAGGTTTGAAGGTATCTCGTCCCTATAGAGACCTAGACCTTTAATTTTTAGCTCAGGGTTGCTCATGTTGCAACCTTATTGTATGGCAACATGCTATGAGGTGCAATGGAAGGAGAAAACCTTCCTCTTCAGGCTTGTCCCTGTATGCCTCAAGGGGGATTGGCCATTTCTACGAAAAGCGATGCACTTGAAAACGGGATTTACATCCACGAGAATTTGCCACTTGTGTCCTGGGACAGATGCTATATAGCATATTCTGAATTGTTTTGGAATAAGCTTGAAAGACCTACAATCCTAATGGGTGCACCCTTGCAAGAGCCCTCCAACATCTAGCTAAATCAATCACGTAAACCCTTAATGGCTCCAGGATTGGTACAATTTGGGACCAACAAGCAGCACCAAAAGTTGGCCACGTGATGGTATTGTCGAAGACCCCTTCAAGACCAACAAGGTGTCCCCATTACGAAGTTTGCCATCCTGTAGTGAAGCATCCTGGGCCAAGCCCGACCCTGCTCATACGTATGCAATTGTCGGCTGGGGCAAAGACATGGTAGCATCGAGCATCATTTTGCTGGCTCACCTGGGCATATGGGGTGGAGGCAGCATCCAGAAAAAGCTGAATGAAGCCTTCGATCGTTTCAAAGTTTGGTGCAAGCTGACTCATCGGACGACTTCATTAACGGAATTCTCGTTAAAGGTATTCAAAATCACCAAGCCACATGGCCTTTCAGGAGATTTTTTGTCTAAACACCAGGCATCATTAATAAATGTCCTACCCTATAGCTATATAGGGAATATCTGAGCCCAATGACTGAGCCTGCGCATTGCCTTTTTATATGTTTGCCTTATTCCTAGCTGCAAGGCTCACCCAGTATCCAGCGGGATGTGGGAAGGGCTACGACACTGCTGTCATCGGTGCCTGGCTTCAAACTGTGACTAGAGATGTGGACCCATCCGCGGTTGGAGAAACTCGATCCATGCATTTTCCATAGGAGGAGGGCATATCAGTTAAAACTACAGGATCCCCAGTAGATGCCTCTTACCCATATTATTGTACCAGCCCTATCCAAACCCAGGATCGGTACAGGAGCATCTTCAACCTTCTTGGGTGGACACTTGATGCCATAAACCTTTTTTGGCGAACGCTTTACCGGAATGGTATCTGGCTTTCGTTGGAGGATGGTCACGCAGCTTCTGAAAGTGGATGGAAAATGATGGATCCCAGATGGGCATTCCAAATTGTTACTGCACGCTTTTGTAACCCACCCCAAAGAAATCAATATAGTCCTAAGCCCTGAACCTATAAAGCCTCAATCTGAACAATCCGCCCTGCAACCAATTAAGGAAGGCTATGGCCTTCTTGCTGTTCGCTGCGCGCGGCTGCGCTGGCCGCTGTATCGAATTCGACCGAAATGCCATCTCCAGCTGCATTTCATGTGGCTGGTCGAAATTATATATATAATTATAATTCAAAGTACAATGGCTATAATGAACATCTTTGGGGTGAAGAATAGTTGCAAATAGGAAAGGCCAGGGATGGATATCTAACTTTCTGGGGTTAGTTGTATAGCTATATGTATACACTTTATATATTAATTGAATTGGTCGTACAGGTTCTACATGCGGGTATAACTATCGAGTATGGGGCTGATGAAGCTCAAGGCATGCTTGGGAATCACTTTCTTCATGGGCTTGTTATTGTGGATATGTAGATACGGCCATCTAGCTACTGTATACGTGTTAATCCGATAGGGATTGTGACAAGATCCATATTCAAACCATATGGAACGAAATCAATCCAACGCAGGTTGGATTTGGACCATCAGATAGCATGCGGGGCGCAGTTCCTGCTGAACCCGTTGTGTGTCTTGGTTGGTTTTGGAATCTCCGTATTTGGCATGTTGAGTTCTGAAAGGCTCTGAAAACTCGATCAAGCTAGATTGTCATAATTTTTCGAATGAACTATGTGATAGCTGAGGCTTCGCATGTTGGTCGGACGAAGACCTGGTAGGACGAGTTAGTCGTGCTTCTCGTCGTACTCACCCTTTCTCTACGACGATCCGTACACTCTCACGTTGTCTCATGCAATACCGTAGACAACACAGGCGAGCTTTTCACAAAGGAAAGGTCAAAGCCTGAGCTTACTTAAGGATTGCCTCAAGATCGGAAAAAAA